TGGGGGGGGAGTATTTAGGTTTAAACACCAAATAACACCAGAGCTGTAGGATTGCTACATCTCCAGAAATAACTAGAGAACCATGAAATATTTAAATATTTACTTCAGTCACCCGAGTACTTGGTAGCACACCTGCATTCCAAAAAAATTAACTCATTTTTGTTCATCCCACAAGAACTCATTTGTGATTGGCATTCTGTTCCATAGGGGTTATCACTCTTCAGCCCCACAGATTTCATAAATTCTCCGGGCAAAATAAATAAATAAGTAAAAAAAAGTAAGCAGCAGCATTCAAAAGGTTAATGAGAAGCAAACAGATAAACTTCACCTAAGTGATGCACAAATCCTCAATTTCCATTCTGCTACCTTCTACTTCCGCTAACAGCGGCAGAAGCAGCTTTTTACTTACATATTCATCGTTCCAGAGCTGACTGAAACGCAGAGGGAAAAAAAAAAAAAACTAGGCAAGATTTATGAAAATATGGAGACTTCTAGTGAAGATACTGTATGAGCTATTTTTTTTTTTGCCCATTTAGATACTTTCCAAATATTTTCAGCTGGTTTGATTTTAAAAATAAATAAATAAATCTCTCTCCAGAAATTCTAGTAGCTTTGCAATGAAAGGAGCTTTCTAGTGTTATTTTCCAGCACTATACATCATTATTTTGCAAGCATTTTTAGTGTGCAAATGGCAGGGGGAGAAGAAAAAAAAAAAAAAAAAAAAAAAAAGAGAGAAAAAAAAAAAGAGAAGGAAGTAAAAAGGGGATATAAATTACAAGCACAGACTTTACAAACAGCACAGTCCTTATGCACCCAGTACTCATGGTTTACGTTTTTTCCCCAGCTCAAAAAAGCAAGCAGGAGCCAGAGGAGGAAACAGAAGGGGTAGATGAACCCCTGGACTTACCTTTTGTGTGGTCCCTCTGTAAACTTCTCAGCAAGAAATTTAAATTCCGCCAGCTGGATTGTGATTCTTTCCCCTTTTTCCTCTTTCTCGAGTCACACCGAAGCAAAACAATTAGTTTTCAGAGGTTCCATTTACCGCTTTTTTCCATCCCCAGCAAAACGCATCCAGGAGACTATGCCAAAAGTAAAGCCCAGAACTCAAAGGCGATTGGAAAAAGGGAGCGTGGGGGGGGGGAGGTTTGCTGAAGGACCAGATTGTGAAATTTCAGCAGCTCGAGCACAGAAATATCCTGCTGTACGATATACCTGGCTTCTTGC